CACAGGTCCTCAATATAGCCTCTTTTTTTGCCTTCACAGTTTCAGCAACAAATCGCTGTGTATAAAGTAGGGCTGTGTGAAGCTTTAGGTGGTAATTCGATTCAGAGGAGATTCAGCCCAATTTGGTGGCCGAATCTCCAAATCCAAATCAAATCAGGGAACCAATAAAAAGGTTGGAATTGATTTGAAGCTCTCCGAATTTTCAGAAAAAATTCAGAGAGCTTTGATGATTCGGGCAGTACCTGGTGGCTGCAGCAGGGAACTGGAGCAGGACTTGGAGTCAGTAAGTAGGGGGCGGTAGATGGGGGGGCAGAAGGAGGGGGGAGGGGCTTGCTGCAAAGACTGCAAAATCGGTTTCATGTGTGGCCCATGAAAATCACTTTGTCTTGCCAGGATTTAGGTAGGTCCCTAGGCATGGCTTGTTCCAGAAACACAAGCAAGGGAGAAAAAAAAGGAAGCAATGTCAAAAATGTAAATACACTTGTTCTTAAGTTCAAGAGGAAAAGGACAGCCAATCTGTTGAACTAATCCAGATGAATGGAAAAAAAATACTAGCGATGTTATGGTAGGAGTCTACTGTAGTCCACAGAATTGGAAAGAGAAGATAGGTGAGGCATCTTTCAAATTTTTCAGGTATGAGCTAATGTTAACAGCAAGGGGGAGGTATAAGTTCCTTGATATCAGCTGTAAGAAAAATAATATAAACAAAAAATGTCCAAAATGTTTTAATGTGTGTACAGGATAACTCTGTTTCAGAAACTTAAGGAAAAAAACTAAGGAGCCTTAAATCTTGGATCTGGTTCCAACCAGTGTGGATGAGCTGGATGTAAATATTCAAGGTACTGAAAAGTAAAGACGTGATTGTGATATAAGACTATTACTAGCCTAAATAAAGGAAGGCAGGAAATCAGCAAAACAAAAGACACTGGGTATGAGTCCATGAATAGACAAATTAAAAGAATGAAGGGTCCAAAAAAGTTGGCAGTTCCTGAGAGACTTCTATTGGAGACACAACATCAATCTGTTACAGTGCAGAAGAAAGAAGAACCACAAAAAACTAATGTGACTGCAGGAATAGCTTTTTAATTACCATAAAATCAAAAAATGGCTGCAAAAGATATTGAAGTTAATGAGAAAGGACTCTAAAAATATGGCCGATGAAAAACAAAAATTTTTAGAAAGATATTAAAACTTACCAGTAAATAATCCAGTAAACCCATTTTCAGCAACAATTTTCTTCATTACTGTCCAAGTTGATGCAGACTTCCTCTGTGATACTAAGTATAATACAGCAAAGAGAGCATGAACTAAAAACACTGCCATCAAAGAAAAATTTGTAGAAAATGTTTTTGAAAATTAGAGGGCATTGCATCAGTAAAATACACTAGTGGTTATGTTAGTCACAGATTTTTCAATTCATTTTAGGTTAATTTTATCCATACTGTTCGTATGTGCCAAGTTGAGATAGGCATTGAGGCAGCCGTATTTTCTTGAATTTTAAGTCTCTATAGACCAAGAAGCTATTTCTTTTGTGCCTGTGTTTAACTTTAGTTTCTCGCACAGGTTTTAGAGAAACATCCACTATTTCTACTGATTTTTTCCTAGAAGATTCTTTGTAGCTAATCCACTCATGCTACTCTCACACATTTTCTAATAGACCGCTAATAAAACAGACTCAGCTTTTTGATTATACCATAATATTACAGCAATGATCTAATGTCCATTGAAGTTGATGGGAGTTTTCATTTGCCCAAAACGAACAGGGGAAAAATATATACATACTGAATCTGTCATAGCTTTCAGTGCAGCAGTAACTATCTGTGACTAAGTAATAAAATTCTTCCTTTCATACCTACTCCTTTAGGTTACTGTAGTAGCTACTGTTGCATATTTCCCCATTACGCCTTCACTGCTCATCACTCTTCTCTTTGAAAGGGAGCAGTAAAAGGGGAAGAGCAAAAATAAAACAGTTGAACATAATATAGTGCCTTCCTAGTTGAAACGCACTAAAAAGCTAAAGAAGAAAAGCTAATTTCATTCCAAAACCCAAAAATACTAAAGGAGGGCTAGACTGCTGATGCTTCTATTTTCTAAGAGGGTGGATGGATTGATGTATATTTTGAAAAACAGTAGCAGAGCTATATATGCAAATATTTTTATCAAGTTATCCACATCCACTCCAAAGCTTTGTCCACAAAGGACTATTTGTGTTCAGTTTTTGCATATGTAAATCATATCCAACCTGGAAAAACGTATAGTAATCAGAGCCCCTACTGCCCAATTCCAACAGCATGCTCATTGTTCCCGTTGTTCTACAGCAGGGTTGCCAAAGATCTGTGCTATGGACTTGTTATCCATCCCATGGGTAGAATTCAAAGTGCAGAGCCATGTCATGTGGCCCACAAGACCAGAAATTAGGTAGCAATAGAAACAGAGGTTGCTGAAGCTCTGGGAGCTGTAGCAATTAAAGTTCAACTGCGAAATTTTTGGCACTATATAGGTCAGATGACTTTGACACTCCCCCCTCCCGTTCTATAAGTTTTTATGAAACAAAACATTACTACCAGTGTTACCCGCCTCTTATCTTTTCACTCCTGCAAATCATTAACACACATCAAACAGCAATTTCCCCAGAAGTATTCCAGAAGATGTTAAGAGTTTGGAAAAGAAAGAGACCTATTGCCAGAGCTTGGAGATGCACTTTAAATTTTTTCCTTGTCTTCCCTTCCTCAAGTCCCCATTAAAAATGATAACAATCCAACCAGAACAAACACATTAGATGTAAAGGTTTCTCATCTTTCTTTCGGCCAACAAGCTAAAGTATATAAAAAGCTCTACCTCCTTACTAAAGCAATGAAGTGTACTTTATTTAAGCCTTCTGTTCTGGGGAGAATTTCACCATTTTGGGGGGAATGAGAAAGGGGAATAATTATTAACGTAATGTAAAATGTAAAGAACATTAAAAAATCTGATTCCAAGGAACTTACTATTTAAGGTCTCACATTCCCAAAGTTGAGTCTGCTTGTGTGTTTTCACCACATCAAAAGGTAAAGTTAAAAGAGCTGCAATCTATGAGAACAATATTAATTGATAATTTGTAATAGATTTCATTTTTATTTATACATTTATAGATATAATAGCTTAATGTTAGACCAGACTTTGTTATTTTTGTAGTTGTCCCAAACTGAGATTTGTGTAGCTAGTTATAATTTAAAAATAGATTTGCTATTGCAATTTAGCGTATAAGCTAACAAGTCAATGATGCAAGCCATAATTACATTTAATTAAATATTCAATCTAGTATAGCTGCTTAGAAAACCTAGATTGCATGAAATATTAATAATATAAGGTTGTACCTTTAAGGATCTAAGACTCCTTCCAAAAGGAAAAGGATTGTAACCAAAGCAGTCACTCAATCCTTTTGTACTGAACCTAGCACTCCTCAAAATTTCCATTTGTCATTAATTGATAATCCGTCCTGGATTATCCTTCACAACTAGTTTGGAGAGAAGGCCTTCATAACTGGAGGTGCACTTAATACAGGACTAAGTCAAAATTGTTTACTTATGCTATGGTGAAATCTCTGGAAGAACGCTGCTCATCTCTACAAACGGCTTACAGCAACAGTATGTACAAGTGACAGCTTCCATTTGGGCAAGATTCACAAGCAGAAAGAATTCAAACATGATCTTTCCTCCTACATTCTGTATGTGTCCTCTCAGTTATCTCTTTCAAGCCCCCTTCCTGAAATGGGAACCAACAGCAAGTATTTCTGCACTCATACGGACTTCCACTAAGGTCAGTAGAACTATGAATGGGTGCAGGACTCTACTATTTAATCAACTGGGGAGATGGGCTTTACATTGTAAACAACTCGGGGAAAGATACTATACTTTAGCACATGCATTGTCAAAACTAGCTTCATTAGCAATACTACTTCATTAGAAATATTACATTTACTCGAATCTAAGATGACCCTGAATTTAAGACAACCCCAATAATTAGATTCCATATATGGAAAATGTATATATTTGTTACAATTTTCCAGGTGTAGAACCTAAGGATCAGAGGGTTGTCTTGCACTCATCCCCACCTCCAACTGGTACAGCATGGAAAGTAGTGGCTGTAGGGGAGTCAAGTAACCTCACTGCCCTATGTCTCCACCCTTATTCCCTCTGCAGCCTATCTGTTCTCCCTGCCATTTGCACCCCGCTACCCCCAGCTTCCCACAGCCTCTGCTTCTTCCCTTCCACTCCCCAGTCTCCTCTTCTTCTCTCCCTCCCCTCCCTCCCCCATAACAGCTGGTAGAAGCACAGCCCTTGCCAGACATGCAGCAGTGTCAGCACTGCTGATTAGCCAGGGAGAATCCATGCAGCTGTGTTGGTGCTGCTGACTGGCCAGGACCCAGCCACTGCTACTGCCTTTACCCAGGGTGGCACAGAAAAGTGTCTGCTGCCAAATCCCTCCACTGCTGAATGTGGCATGTCTGTGGTCCAGATCAAAAGGCTCCCTGGATCGGATCTGGCCCAAGTGCCACAGGTTACTGACCCCTGCTTAAAAATACTCACAGTGGGTGTGTCTACATGAGACGCACACAAATTGTGATGCCACAGGTATGTTGCCATAGCAATGTGCTCCCTCGCTATAGCGCGTCACTACATTGACGTAGCAGCTAAAAATAACCACGTGCCACCGGCACAATGCAATAATGGATGTTACCGCACAGTACGGGCACATGTAGATGTGCCCACTATGTAGGCAATCTCATACACTTTTTTGCTGATATATAGAACCTCTCAATGAATGAAGGGTAATTTATTCATGCTTTATATAAAATAATATTACTATAAAATAGCAGTGACAAAAAAGTAGACTTACAGATCCAGATATAGCCCCTGACGTAAAACACATCATAAATGTTGGTTCATGCATGTCAAATCTCTTGCACAGCCCCTCCTTGAGGTGTTCATAGTTGTACCAGTACATTGCTAGAGGTATAAAAAGACCAATAAAACTCCAAAACCATAAATTTGCAACAAGCAACAAACTGGTATACTGAGCACAGTCTCCTTTTCCAGAGAAGAAATTAGCTTCCCCACTTAAATGCTGATTGGGGACAGGGAGAAAGGGAGAAGAGTATATTGTATAGGAGAAAATACAGTATTCAGGTAGCCAGTACTCTAGTTTAATCAGTGCTCGGTTCCACTGTAGCAATTCCTTTGTTATTAAACACTACAGCAGTGTGTACAATTTACATAGAACAAGTTTTTTTTTTTTGAAGTTATTGGTTTACATTTCTTCACATGAACTAGACAGTTTATAAAATACATTTTATTGCATTTTCAGTTATTTTACACTTTATATAAACCTTATTAAAACAGTTTTACAAAGTTAAATGTGGCCTTCCATGAGAGAGAGTTACGTGCCATCCCCCCAAAACTATCTTAAATTTTTATCCTGATGCTGACACACAGGCACTGGGAATGCTTCAGCAAGGGGCTACATTGTAAGACAACTTGAGGAACAATTAAATTAAGGGGACAATGATTTTGGATGGAGGGCAGCTTAAGGAGGTTTGGTTAGTTTGACGGCTGCATAGGTAGCCCTGCCCCTTGATAGTTGCCCCATCCCCTGGTCACCATCTTGGGACTAGACATACCACCCCTCACCTTTGCCACTGGAAATCCCTCCCCTTTCTCCCCTGGTAATACTCCTTTTGGGAGAGGGGGCTGCCATTTTGGAACCAGAAAAATAACCAAATCGTACACTAAAAATGAAACACCTATGACATTTTAATTTTATTACAAAAAATAGTTTTGTCATGATTTGTCTTTGCGTAGTATATGTAGAGGTGATTGCGTAACTCAAAAGCAGGGGGTTATAAGGAGGTGTGGGGGGCTCACAGGGTATGTTGGGGGTTGTGTGTATGTGGGGGCAGAGTGGGGAGGTGTGAGGGGACCACCCTTTGCATTCTCCCCATGGTGCAGCAGCAGGCGGGGCCACTCAGGGTGCTCATGCCCAGTGCTGGTGTCTGGTGGGGTGCAGCTCTGGCCAGCACTGCACATCACAGTGAGGCACATCCCCTGCTGGGCAGTCTCTATCACCAGTGCTCCCTGCCATGCATGCACAGCCCCCAACACTCGTGCAGCGAGGGAGGGAACCCCGCATGTGAGAGCTGGCTGCCTTCCCTGGATCTGTGTGGCTAGGGTTGGCAAAGGGAGCCAGCTCCAGTGCACAGGGCTTCCCTCCCGTGCCGCAAGAGCACAGAGGTTGTGCATGCATGGCAGGGAGTGCCAGCAATAGACACTGCCCAGCAGGAGCTGCATCCCTCATCACAATGTACAGTGCTGGCTGGAGCTGCATGCTGCACAAGCACCTAAATCGGGCATGAGCGCCCCCCGCCTGGTGCTGCTACTGCTGCTGCCACCACCTGCGGGGCCGTATTTTGTCCGTCCCTGGTTTATATTGTGTTCCACAGGTCAGAACTGCAGCACTTGTCTTTGCATACTAACCACAACTAAGTGCATCGGTTGAGACAGTACTGAATTACAGAGGAAACTGTTGAAATAGGCTGGTAGATGTAGGTATCATGAACTATAAGGACTGCATGTATATCCTGACGGATCAATTACGCCTCATTTCAGTTTTGCCTTTAGAAAGAGATAAACAAAGGCAAAGATTTAAGATTTAATCTTGAATATTTCTGCAGTGTGGCAGCTCTCACTCTTAGCTAACTCAAGAGGAGCTCACTTGAGTGGAAGGAAGTGTGGAATGCTAATGTCTGGGTTGTAGATGGCAAAGTTGAAGTTGCATTGGAGTAGTGGCAAGTACTTGGCTTTCTGTTTCCTAGTTTTTAGAGAGCTGAATTTGCCATCCTCCACATTTTGGAAGGCAAGAGACAAAGTTAGGCAACCTTAACCCTATGTTAACAAAGTTTTAAAGACATTCATCTAGTTTATTTATTTATTTTAAAGATAAATAGACTTTTTTCCTGGCCATATATGTCAGCTTAATTTTCCCCCTGGCTGCCTCTGGCTCTTTGTCAATAATCATCCTTGATACAGAAGTCATTCGCTGTTCATTTAGTATAGCACAGCATACTGTTTCCTCCTCAGCTCTCTTCTCTGCATGGAGCTGGGCATGGACAAGACTTGCAGACTGAGGTGCAGATGCTCCAGCAGTGCAGTAATTGACATGAAGTTATGGGGACATATAATGAAGGTGGAACAGAAGTGAGTGTCATAATGAAAATTTGGGGAAAACAGCAGAAACTGCCCATATCCTCAAAGGAATAGCTCTTACATCCTCTTTTTCTTTTCACATTCCCTTGTACTGTTTGGCCTCCCCTTTCCAATACAAGCAGCAACATCAAAAAGAAGGGTCGTCCCTTCCCTAGTGCCTAAGGGAGTATGGGAAATAATGGAAACTGGAGTTTCCTTTCTCAGATCAGGAAGCAGTGGAGGAATTCCAGACTCCCTTGAGTCACGTAGCCTGGGTAAAAGAGCTTTTTTGGGGGCAGGAGGTATATGTAGTAGGATGGGGGTGGGAGAACATAAATTACTCCCTTCGACTTCCTCCTGAAGTATGTCACTGGAAGGGAATGTACTTAATTTCTCCTCCATCTTTTCATTTGATTCTTTCAGTGCTTCTAGGTGCTTCAATACTTTTCCTCAAAAAGAAAAGGTCCCTCTGAAGACCCTTACTCATCACAACATCATACAGATTACACCTTTGGAAACCCAATTCTCTGGCAATGCTCTAGTCATTGAACATATCATTCAGGTGGTCCCTTACACCACTGTTTGCTCTAACCCCTTCCATGCCCATTGCTCTAACCACCCTTGCAAATCACAAGTAAAGGATTTTGACTCTGTGGTGTGGATTCTACAGGGCAGTGTTCATTTCCATGAACCAGAGGTCAGCAATGGTTTCTAGCATGGGTCAGAGGCAGGGTGGCATTAGGACCTGACCACTCCTGCTTCTCCCTGCTGTTCAGCTGCATTGCAGTATGGCAAAGGATGCTCTCCACTGGAACTTACGCTGTCTGGCATGGCCAGAGCTCCCCCTCCACCAAAGCCCCAGGTGGCCAACAGCGGCATGGTGCAGGGAGTACTCCCCTTCACCAGGGCCTGAGGTGTCTAACAGTGGCGCAAAGCAGAAAGACCCCCATGCTGCCAAATGCTGTTGAAGGCATGGCTCTACAAATCAGATAAAAAGGCTCCAAGGGCCATAGGTTGCCAATCCCTGCCATAAACCTCTGACTTAGTGCACTGCTCAATGTTTAACTCACAAAAACATTCTGAAGAAGCAGACTTACACAGATGTCTTACTCCATGTAAACAAAAGTACAAGTGCTTTGCAGTGCAATAACTTAACTTTTGAAATGTATCTGAATTACTCTTCAGTTCTTTTCAAGAGCTGATCTCATAGGCAGTCCATGCTATAATGAGTAGATGTCAGGGTCTTAGATTTCCCTAGCGTTGCATCAGAAAAACTGTAAGGATCTGAAAATCTTAGAAGCAATTCATTATAAGGCAGGGGTGGGCAATTATTTGTGCTGGAAGGCCATTTATTGAGTTTTGGTGAGCTGCTGAGGGCTGGGGAGGGAGAGGGTGCAGCCAGGGAGATGTCAATTGATCTTACCCAGCCTGCCAGCCACCACTGGGAACCTGAGGGAGGGCTGCGCCCCATGCTGCTATGCTCTGCTCTGATACAGCCAGGCCAGGCCACACAATGCGCAATAAGCAATGTGCACCAATGTGCAATAAGCCACTGTACCATACCAGAAAAGTGATAACACTCATGTAATTTTCTAAATATTATTTTTATGGGAGTTTTATGTCAGAAATGTGTTGTTTAGATAATCACAAATTTGCACCACAATCTGCACCCCCAAAAATATAATACATTTCAAGAGAATCCAAGTCTGTGTGATTTTATAGCACCAGGAACAGTCATCTTTTGAACAATAAGCAAACCACAATTTTATCTATAGCATAGCACAACGTTATGAAATTCTGAGAAAAAATTCTAAGGGGACTGACAAGCAAATATTCCCCATAACACAAACTCTGAAGAGAAATAAACCCTACCTGAGAAAGGAACGTCTCTAAGAACAGTAGGACCCCAGCCTCTCCACAAAGAAAGCCAACCATCTTTGGCTATTGTGTTACTGATGCACACATGTAATTGCCTGTAAGATAACTGGTGAGCCTGAAGTTTAGTTCTGACCAACTCCAGGGGGCTTATTACAGTTACTGAACCCACTGAAAAGGAGAAAACGATAAGACATGTTATCAATATTTAAAGCAGAAAATTCTGTTCAGAGTGCAGTTTCCCAAGAATGTGCTCTCCTTCCATTTCCATATTTTCAGTTTTGTCATAGATGTCTCTCCCAAAGTTGCTGCTTAAGTTATATCAACTATACAACCTCCCATGAAGGTGAGAACAACCTGATCATACATATGAACCCAGACTGGTGACTCCAAGGCGTAATTTAAATTTATACTTCAACAAAGATAAAAATGAGCTAAAATGTCAGCAGGTTTTTGTTAATAACTTGATTTTAAAATGTCAATTCCTGCATTAATCCTAAACTCTACTTAAAAAAAAGTTTTGCTTCTTGCTTATTAAAAATTAAAATGTAGCTCTCATTTTTAAAGTCCCTTTTTCTCTTTGTAAGTTACTTTTAAGTGGCTCATCCATTCTTTTTCTTTAGAAATATCAAATCAGGTCCTCTTTGTTTCTAGGAGGATTCAGATCCCAGCTGTGTCTATTATGAACTCTCTTACCATTTAACTTAAGAAGCAGGGAGCAATGACCCTAAACAGTCACACCCTTCCTACTAGCATCCTGGCAGATAAAGATATTCAACTTCCTGACTTCAGTTAATAGGAGTGATAAAACCTAAGGTATTGTCCCCGTTAAAAAGAACTGCAAGCAGAAGTACACCAGCCAGCAGTATGAAAAGATCACATCCTGCAGGCCATATAGATCTGCCAATGAAATCCCCCATGTGAATGCACATCTACCGGCAAAAGAATGTTTCTGCCTGTCGAGCTGATGTCCTTTTAGGGGAGCTAGTGTAGCCAGCAAGAGAAAACCACCTTCTGCTGGCAGGCTTGCATCCATACCAGAGGATTCTGCCAGTGGATCTTTCCTGCTATAGTTGCAATTGCAACACCACCATGGCAGCGGAGTGAGTCCAGAGCCAGTGCCAGCTGGAAGGGAGGCCTGTGGCACCCCACGCTCTGGGCTGGGCTCCTGCACTGCACTAGGCAGCCTCCTCCACTACCCGCCCCCACCCCACAGTGTCTCCTAGATGCCCCTCCCCTGCCATCACAGGTACCAGCTCCTTGGTGTCACTGGCCCAGTATGGCAGCTCCCCACTGCCCCCAAAAGGTTCACCTGCCCCCTTCTGCTGCTGGAGGGGCTTCCCCCTGCCCCTGTGCCCTGCTGCAGCCCTAGCACCTGGACACCCCCAGTGCCAGCAGGCACACACTCCCCCTCGCACATCCATCCCCTCCACAACCCTCCCCAACAGTCCCCAAGCCCTGGCCCTCCAACCTCCATTCCCCACAAACATTCCTGCATCCAGCTGCTAAGGCTGCTCCCACCACCCCTCCAGGCCTCATGCCAGCCACATGCGTGCACGTGCAGATGCACATGGTGCTCCCTGCCTCCAATTGTCCTTCCCCTGCTCCCACCAGCAGAGCAAAGCAAAATCCTGGACACTTGTTCAGATTTTTAAAAAAAACTGCCTGGTCGGAGGACCCAAAAAGAGGATATGTCTGGGACCAGATGTATGGTAACCCTACATTACCTTTAAACTAGCATGTGACAAAAAATGTTTATTATTATAACCGCTGGAGACAAGGATTATTTTTTCTCTTGAAGAACCTTTAAGACAAGATATAAGTTACAAGGAGTTCCATGTCTAGGATTTCATAATATGCCTTTCAGTAACGCTGCTAAGGGCCTACCAATACATCCAAATTGAAGCTGGATAGAAATGAGCTATAAAGTTGTGTTATACATTTTCAAGCACCAACTTTGTAACTGGCTGATGCTCTTTATAGCTGGATGTATATTTTTATGCCATGATAATCATTTATTCCATGATAATTACTTTGCATGTGTGGCCAGCCTAAATTTATTGCCCAGTTAACCAGTTACAGTAGTTGTGTAATGTATGTAACGTGGCAGGGGCCTAAGAGAGACATAGCTAAAAAGCCTGGCTGAAGCGTTTCCACAGAATGTTATCCGAGTTCTAGTAAATAAATTAAATATAAAAGTATTTCTCTAGAAAAAGTAGAATCTAGCTCCCGTTTAAATTAGAACTAAGTTAAATAAGCATGTAATGTTGGGTTTTGTGTACAGTGCCTGCTATGAACAGGTATACTTAATTTTATCTTTAAACCACACCAAATGGGGCTTGAAATGTAAAATATCAGGAAAATGAATAGTAAAGAAAAATACTATAAAGTATAGATAATTTGACTCACATCTGCTTAAGGATCCAGCAAGAATTGGAATGAAGTCACCTTTTCCTAATGTAGCTCCTAAACCTTCACTTAGTTGATCATAGCAAGTAAAATAAATTACTGTGGTTGGAAGTGCCATCATTCTAAAATACAAATGAAAGAAATCTCAGTTACCACAAAGAAAAAAAACTTCAAAATCATTGTGATTAGTCATCCAATCTGAATTTTTTGCTTAAATAAAAAGATTAAAATTTAAATTATGTGTAAATGAGAAAAATCATCATGCTCATAAGCTGTAGCTCACAAATTTCTATTAAACCTCCATTAGCAAACTGTGGTAAAGATTCAAGTTCCTTCTGGAATTTTACCTTAATTCATGCAATTGTTTTCATAATCTGACAGACTACCCTGCTAAACGCTCTCACTTTTGAAGCGTGCTTTCTATGTTTCAGCTTTAATACTGATGCTTTTCTTTAACTCCGGCGATTATTTCTTTTATGTAGAACAGCCAATTAAATGAAACTCCACCTGTTTTCTGTTGATTCCTTATGGATACTTCATCCATAAGCCAGACACATGTAGCTTTGGCAACAGTCACAAATGAAAAATTGGTTATTTCTGGGCAATTTTTCTTTTTTGATCAACAAAAGTTTCAGTAAAAAATGTGGGCTTGTCACCCCAAAACAATTCACAAATTTAACCCAATTTCATTAAATAGTTCTTGCTGGAAAAATAAACAGTGGAGATGCTATACTTTTTGCAAATAGCTTATTAGCTAAGACATTCAGCCTTGATAAAGGAAACCCAGTCCAATTCCAATCTCTACCTGAAATATCACAATTTCCAGGCAAATATTTTTACCACCAGACTGTTGAGTATTTTGGGGTGCATGCTCTCAGTTCCTCTTGCTGCTGTTATTCCACCTTCTATAACATATGTATATATTATTTGCTAGTGCAGGAAGTAGAGGTTCAAGTGTTCCTCCTTGTGTGCTGCAATGTCACTCCCTTTCTCCCTCACTCACTGGGTCCATGAGTATTTAAGTCTCTTATACAAAATTGAACAACATCAGTAGGAGAAATAGAGAATAATACATCCCAACAAATTTGATACAATGACTAAGGCACTCTCCTGCAAGGTGGCTCATGTGCATTTAAGTCCACTTGAACTGAAAAAGTAAGTAAATCTGTATCTCTCCCATCCTTGGCAAGTATCTAACTACTTGGCTATTGGATAAAACGGGAACTAATTCTTCGTCTTCCTGTTTTGATAGTCCATCCTTTCGTTCCCTTTGGGGGGGTTTTAAGTGCCCAATGAAATTTTGTGTAAGGCTGAAAACAAAATGATTTTTTTTCGGTGCAACCCCCCCCCAAAAAAATTATTTTGGCTTAACTGGAACCATTATTTTTATTTTTTCATGCCAGATAAAGAACTAGTGCAGGGGGACTGGACCTGATGATCTATATTCCATTATCAATACACTATCACTAAGATAATTTAATCTAATATGGTATCAAATAACTTAGAAATAACTGCATATAAATGACCCTAGCCTGCCAATCCACTTCCCAAAAACGGCACTGGATGAAGCTGACAAATCAGGTTTAATAAACTTTATGGAAAACCAGTTATAGTGTAGACCTCTCTTTAAGAAGAGTCTTTCTCCAATCAAGAAACCAGTCCTATTCTTAGGCCACAAACAAAAGAATTTGCACATTGATATTATATAAAAACAGTTTGCACAGTAGCGTAAAACCATGCTAGGAACTAAGAAGTTGTTATCTATGTTAGTCTGAAGTCATTCAGAAGGTAAGGCAAGGTGGGACCTTAAAAACTAACTGGTTCAGAGAGCAATGAGCTAACAGACAGAAACTTAGCACCTGGTTACATTAACTGAATATGCTTATACAATGTGGTGATTATGCGACCTCACTGCTAGGTGGTAAAGAGACTGGTATCTCCCAGTACCTCTTGTGGCCTGCTTTCTTGGTGCCTTGTAGCATAGAAACAGCTATTCCTTTTGGGAAATCAGGCCTGAAGTGCCTGAAGTCTCAGGTGTAAATTTTCACTGGTTAAAGCCACAGAATTACTGTCATTTCACATCCTCTGCAGGTACAGCATAGACCCTTTTTGTTTTGAGCTCCTTTCTCTATTGCTATCATATGGCAATATACACGGCATCGCAGCACTGAGTCTGTAGTCACCTCATTACCCTTGACAGCATGAATACCCAAGTCGCTGAGGTGACTTACCAGAGCTATGGAATGACTGACTGATCTCAGAAAGTACATAATAGAACCACATGACATGCTCTTGGCAAAAACCAGAAAGCTGCTAAAAGACTTTAAAAACCCAAACAGTCACAAACCCAAGCAGAACAGCCTGCTTTGGACACTGTACACTGTGTACCCTGGTTCACAGGGAAAAAAGTGCAGACTGAGAAAGCGCTACTGCAGATATGGGACAATCAGCAGTGGTGGGAGACCATCAGGATGATGAATGCCACATTCTTTTAGATTTACACACAGCTAACCCCAAAGCTGAGGAAGCAGTATACCAACCTAAGAGTTCCTCTGAGTGTAGAGATACAGATGGCAATAGCCCTTTGGAAACCTGAGACCTTGTGACTCCCACCTGCCCATGGCAAAATGGACATATTTACTGCTGGGTCTGCCATTTGTGAGGTTTGTGCAACCAAAGAAACACTTTCTCCACATTTCCAGTCCTCAGGAGGTCATCCATAAATTAACTCATATGGAGCTCCCCAATTGCACTGATGTGATTTATGACATTTATAATCTAAGCTTTTGTCCTCTCCACTGTAGCTTGCAGTACATCATCAGAAATGACTGTCTTAGCTGCAATGGAGGATGCTATATATCACCGTGGGAGATTCATGGATGTCACTGCCAGATGGTCATTAAAGGTGCCTCATGCCAGGGTTTTCCACAGCCGTACACCTGACTTCCTGTGATGAAGCAGGGACTGTTTTCCAGTGTTTATGCTGGAAGCAACATCAATGGAGTGATCCTGCCCATTGATTCTAAGTGACCCAGTTTTCCCACTCTTCCCATGGCTTATAAAGCTGTGCATAGGGCATCTGAAACCTACAAAGGAATTATTCAATTACCAGCCTGGCATCTGCAGAGTGAACATGTCTCTGGGCAGCTCAAGCCCAGGTGGAGGGTGCTCAGCCTTCAGCTGGACCCATCCAGCCATCACCTTCCCAAGATGATGCTAGCTTGCACATCCTGTAAAACATTTGCAAAACAAGGGGCAAGTCACTGGATGACGAGTGGGCAGTAGAGGCCAAGCAACTTTCTCAGCGGTATTAGCAACCACAGCCAGTATTCCATGAAACCACCATCGGCAAAAATTTCATGCAGGATGCCCTGATTGTCAGGCATCTGGATTTTCCATTTCTGACAGAAAAATGGAGAAAAATGTGGATTTCTTGTTTTAATGGAAAAACACATGGATTGTCCACTTCTGCAAAGAGCTCTTTGCAGGCTGGCAGAGTTCCAGCCTGCAAGGACTAGGGGGAGCGGGGCAGGGCAGTCAGGCCAGGGCGCCATGTGCATGTTTATGCACATGGCTGCCAGGCAGCCTGGAGAGCAGCTCTTGCAGGTAAGTCTGGGGGAAGGAAGGGGGAAATCAAGGCCCCCCCCCATAGGGAGGGAGGGAGCAAGCTGAGCAGGACAAGGGCTGGGACTGGGCATGCACTGTGTGGGGTTTGAGGCCTGGGGCTAGGACCTGGGCAGGGAGCAGGATGGGGCCTCAAACAGCTAGTGCAGGAGGCAGGGGGAGTGAGGCTGGCTCCCTACTGCTGTATGCAGTCCCAGGGGGCATGTGCTCCCCACATCTGTGCATGGGGCAGGGGCAAGCTGTCTACTGTAGGCTTGGACTCCCTGCCCTCCCACAGCAGGTGGGATCCAGAACAGGAGAGCAGACCAGGGCCAGGTGGGGAAGATCCTTGCCACTGAGCCCCATGCCACCCTGGCAATGCACCCTCTGCCCACCCCACAGAAAAAGGAGTTGTGCCCTCGCTGCAGTGGAACGGCCAGGGACGACGTCACCAGGCAGCTACAGGGCTCACAGTGGCAAGGAGTTTCCCTGCTCAACCCCACTCTGCCCTGCCATGCCAGGTTCCACCCACGGGGCTGCTGAAGCCCTGAGGGAGCGCAGCAGGGCAGGGAGCCCGAGCCCACGCTGGGCAACCCACCCCTGCCCCATGCACAGATCTGGGGGCACAGGTTTCCCCAGACACCAGGAGTGCATCTAACAGCAGGGAGCCACGCCCCGCACTGCCCAAGCCCACAGCGGGCAGCCCGCACCCACTCCCCCCATGGTCTCCATTCTGCTTATGCCACCCATGGGAAAGGGGAAGCCAGGCTCCACACTCTGCTATGCTGCAGCAGCTGCCACCTCTGGCAAGCAGCAGCTGGAGCTCAGGTGCTGCTGTAGGAGGCAAGGGGCTGCATACCTAGGTTCCTGGCCTCATAGCCCTGGCAGCTGGGGGGCCCCTATGGCATGGGCATTACTATCAGGGCCAGGGGACTGTGGCTTGGGAGTGAGAGGCCTAGGCCTATGTTTTATGAGCTAAGGGGGCATGGGGAGCTCTAATTTTTCATGATAAAAAACTAGAGGTGCACCAATCCATCGGTCCATATCACATCAACACTGATAAAAGGAAAATTGACATTATTGGCTACATCAGCCAAAAAAAGCCAATTGCTGATAATGTTGCTGATAAATGCTGCATACATATCCAGAGTCGCACCATGCATGTGGCCAGGAGTGCAGCCCAGCAACGTGGAGAGCAGCGTCTGGCTGGTCAGTCTGTTGGGGGAAGGGGAGGGTTGGAGTGTGGGGGGACGCAAATGGAGGCCCCTGCAGTGAGGGAGTGAATGGGACTAGGGCAGGTGCTGCCCAGCCAGGGTGGGGCAGGGTGCGAGACAGAGCCACCTGCTCGTCTGGGGGAGGGCAGCTCCCGCCACTGCGTGCACCCCGGAGTAGGCATGGGGGACATGTGCTCCCACCCCACTGGATCTGTGTGCAGGGCTAGGATGCGCTGCCCACTGCATGCTCGGAGCGGGGCCTGCTCCAGCCTCTTCCTGGAGGCTGCCACTGAGAGGAGGGACTATGGGAGAGGCTACAGCCACTCTAAAATTCACCGTAGCTCTGCTCTCAGTGCCATCACCTCCTGCCCTGGCCCACCTGGCCGGAGCACAGCTGCCTGGAAGAGGCTGGCGCAGCCACTGGCCTCTAATGTGCAGTCCGCCCTCATCCCACACACAGATTTGAGCTGACACATGCCCCCCATCCCTCACACGGGAGTGCACACAGCGGTGGGAGATGCCCCCTCTCCCTACCCCCCAGACGAGCAGTCAGCTATGTCCTGGGCCGACCCTGCCCCAGCTGGGCAGTGCCTACCCCTGCCCCAGCCCCACTCCATCCCTCACCACAGGGGCCTCAATCTGCACCCCCCACGCCCCTTTCCCACAACAGACTTACCAGCCGGATGCTGCTCTCCATGCTGCTGGGCTGCATATTGGCAATTGGACCGGTATCTGCCAATATGGCTGGTCAATAATTGGTCATCAGTATTGGCCCCAAGTTTTTTTTTTAAATCAATGCACCCCTAAAAAAACCCCAAAATCAGATACCAAAATGTATAGGTATTTAAAATGTATTTTATTATAATGATTGAGGCACTGGTAGGCTTCCAAATTGCTTTAAAATTGTAAATATATCAATAAAATGTGTTCAGCTGATACCTATATGTATAGTGGCATTTCATTTTAATCATGGATTTTGTTGGCTTTTATCAGAGAATTTGCAATTTTTTAGCAGAGAAAACCAGGATCTCTCCTGATCATTTAAGAAGCGATGGGAGGTTTGAACAAGAAGCAGGTTCACATTTTGCTGTTTGTACATGGAGCCAAGACTATACAAATCATGGAATGAACAAAGCTATTTTTATTTAGCAGACAAACAAATTAAATAATGCCAAAAGATCAAAGTGGCCTGTTAAAGAAAAAGGACTTTATGGGAGAATCTACACCAAGTGAACAGAGCAGGAGGCAATGAGGAAAAAACTATGTATTATACTGAGCTTTAACTCCTATGGGTGAATTCAAAGCCTCACTAGTCACTACATTGCTCTGTACCCTACAGACTGGAGTCCCACAGCACCAGGCGCATGTGAGAGTCACAGGGATAGAAAGAGCTCAGCTGTCATAAAAAGCTGTTCTTTCTCTTCAGAAAGAGAAGCAGAAGCTCAGCATATTGCTGACTGCTTGCTGATACCCCTAGCATGTGGTGTCATCAAGCAAAGTAAATTGGACAGCTCCACTGCACCATGCAAGCTGTTAGATGGAGGCCTGGGATGAATGCTGGGTATAGGAGAGAAGGCCACACACGAGCTGTCTTCTTCCACTCAGTCTGGTGGAACAAGACACCATGCACTGACCACTGTCTCTCTCTTTTTCCCAAACCCTAGGTTATTGTTCAGATGTTCCAGTGTCATCTTCACCCTGCTTGCCACGGAGCTCCTCCTGCCCTGTTTCACTGCAGACTTCCTGGCCAGAGTGATGCCTTCCCTCGTCAGGTTGCCATAGTAGTCCTGGCAGAATTCCATCCAAGAGGGTAAAATGTCCATGAATCTCACCCTCCAAAAAGACCAGCTCCCTATCCATTTCTATATCATCATTTTTCTTCTCCAGTACATTTGCTATTGATGAGAGTGACTTCGGGGTCCCTAGAACTGCAACTACTGAACTTGGAAGGTGAAAAATATAATGTATGGTGATTTTGTTCCAGCCTCAGCTAGAGACAATCCCTTAAACTCCCTGTAATTTCTGGGATTCCATTGATAAACTCTTCCTAGTCTTGAAAGACCTCTGCAACAGCCCAATGTCCCCTGCTGCTCCATTGTGCCAGTGGGCAACCAAGGTTGAGGAAACGCTGGGATAAGGCGACTGAGTCTTCTAGTGTCTGGCCCTCATAGCACCAGAGGAGCTAATGTCAGAGGTGAGTTCAGAAAGCTACCTCAAGGGAGGCTACAAAGCAGTGTAGGATCCTACTTGGCTAACCAATCACCCAGATCAAAAAGAAGATAGAGATGAATCTATATCAATATGGAGTTAGACCTGTTTCATACCAGGGCAAATTTGTCACTGACTGGGTGGAGTTATACCTATTTTGAGATATGTCATCTATCTATAGCTTTTTCAGCTAGTATAAAGCTAATTGTTTAAATGTCTTCTTGGTGCACACCTTTAGTGAGTGTGACATAAGTGTTGAAGCATAAACTTTCTGACTTTCTTGGCTCAGACAGAGGCCCCTTAATTAACTTATGCACCAATGACTTTGAAGCCTTGTCCTTTGAAACAGCTAGGTGCTAGAGTACAAACAAGATTAATTTAAACAGCGCTTTACTTTTGTTTACAAATACATATTTAGCAGTGTGTGGTCATTGAAGGCAAACGTAAGAGGTTCCACTGGGTGCCATAAGCTGTGGCAGGAGACTTGCAGTGTTATGCCCTGTACTTCATGAAACACAAAGTTCACTTGAAGGATAACTCCTGGGTTTGTCCACTTGGCTGAGATTAAAAATGCAGTAATGGTGCTCTGTAGAGGTCTGAATTACTATCCTTGTCAGGCTGATATAATGCTATTAAGAAAGACAGCTGCTAGACAAGGAGTTAGGATATTACCCTTAAAGGTTGGAAAGGAGCTATATGGAGAAATCTCACTGATTCTGAATCTGTCTGGCTGAAAATATATCATCCCTGGTGGTTTCAAGTAAACTTAATATTAATATATAGATGATAAAGAATATTAATGACATGGGAAATTTGCTTGAAATTAAACATTAGAAAGCAACCATTATTTGACCATTTGACCATTATTTGGTCAAAATAATGAATTCTCTCTTTACTGATTATGATACATGACAGAAGAAGTGAAATTTCAACTCACAGTGTTGGAGGAAGTCCACTCCACAGTGATTTAATCCCTTCCATTCGAACAATTTTCACAAAAGCATCCTAAAATAATAAGCAAACAAAGAGCATATAGTTAGCGTTATACTGCTTTCATTCAGATAATTTTCTTAGTGGACATGTGACAGAATTAAAATTTACTTCAAAAGAAATTAAAAAAAAAAAAGTATTCTAAAAATGGCCTTTCACACTAAAGCCCCAATTGTGTAAATAGTTATGCTCTTAATTAATTTTAAGTATGAGTAGTTCTACTGAAGTAAATACTCAAATACTTAATTTTAAGCATGTGCCTAAGTGTTTGCCTGACTGTAGTGTTAATTTAAATCATTAGTACCCATGAAAGAAGAATGACAGACAGTACTGGTACAACACACACAGATGACTCCATCACACATTTTTGCTATTATCTGACAGAGTCACCTCTCTGTGTGAGAAGGTAATTCATTCTCCAAGCTTCTTTGGTTCTTAGCCTCCATGACAACTTGGCAAATCCACCTATAGACTTCTTTATGAATTTGGCTGATTTTATTAAACTGCTACATGGTGGAAAACTTCTGCACGTGTGGAATCTCCCTTCATTATCAGAATGGATCATATATCTCCTAGATTGGGGTAATGAAATGTCACTGAATTTTAACACTCAACTGTGCAAATGACAGCATCCAAGGATAAAGACTTGGCCAAATCCAAGAGCCAGTTTTCTCTAACTGTTCAACCACAGCTGGATTTTAAGGGTTGGAATTTGCCTAGAAATAGAATCTACATCAGTAAAGACCCTAAAAACCACAAACTTGGAGAGATCATGATATGGGACTAAAAAGGAGAAGAAAGATAAAGCATGTTGCGGCACACATCTCTATCAGCCAAGGTCAAAAGAGAGGGTGGCTGGAGAGAAGGGTGGGCAGACACCATGATTCTGAGGTAACTGACCTACAGAAATAGAGTCCTGGAACCTAAAAAAGACACTGATCCAATTACTAGTGAACACTCTAGAATTGTGAAGATGGAGAATGACATACAGGACTTTTATTGTTTTGAATTAATATACGTATTTATGTTAACTACAGCAAAAAGTGATTGATTTTGCAAGGTCTGTGTAGTTGAGAGTTTGGGAGAAGGAGAGGGGGGAAATCAGCACTAGCTCTTGGGACCTAAGGCAGTGAAACCACAACATTTTGCACCTGTGATATGGTAACAGATAGCCTGTGCCTAGAAATTATGCAAGAGAGGCCATAGAGTTAATTGCTGATGTATACTCAGGCAGGAATTTTAAAGCACATAAATGCAGTACTGTGGTGCATATCAAATGGGGAATATTAGAGTCTCTAAGAGTAAGGGTGACTATTACTGCTGGTTTTATATTTTGGTAATGCAGACATCACTTCTCAGAAAATGCTGATCACTAAGTACTTTCACTAGTCAACAAATAGCCATCAAAACATAGTACTGTCTGTATTACATTTGAACATGGATCCTCCATTTCCTTATATCACTAAATATAAACAATCAGTTCCTCCAGGGGAAAAAGTGACATGGCTCCATTTACCAATGTATACCATTTGAGGATCTTGCCAGAAGTCTGTTCTCTTAAATAACATGCTCTTATTTGTGTTAAAATCACATTTAGATAATCAACGTTTTATAGGACCCAATATGTGCTGAACACATCATAAGCAAACTCCATTTAATTTAATTTGCTATTTTTCAGCACTTTTTACCATTGCTTACAGACAAGAAATGTTGTTCTATGCAGGCTAGCTTAGCAACACAGTGAAACATGAAAAACTTGTCAAGTGTACATTGATTGGATAAGACAAGCTTCTTCAGGATCCATTATTAGCTTTGTAACCAGGATAAAAGCAGGATGTGCACAAAGACTATCTTCAGCATTCATTCATACAATCAGTCTCGAATTGAAATTCCAAAGGCAGAGTTATGGGAAACAGCAAGTCCTGAAAGACCTCTCATTTTGGGTGAGATTCATAAAGGAACTCAGGTGCTTAAAATGGGTCTTAGGCAGAATATACCCAAGTCCAAGAAAGCAATTCACAGTAACCTGCCTAACTCACACTTTAAGACTTTAAGGCATTTAAGACTCTCTAAAGCATGTACATTTTCAGAGGAAAAGTGACAGGTTCCTAAAGTTCAGTTACTTTGAACAGCTGCTCCTATCCTGTTGGGTTGAACATCTTAGTGCCTATCTCCCATCTAAGGCCACTTGGGTTTCTTAAATTATGCACAAGTCCTCTGACAGGCCTGATCTAGCAGGTATACTCAGGGTATGCCTAACAATGATTGACAACATTGAGTTTGGTGCCTACAACCATTTTTACTGGAAAAGAGCAGTGGTGGAGCCCACTTTGTACACACCATCCAAATTCTGGTTCCAGTCCCTGGTGTCAGCTGTTTAGCAATTTAATCCAATGACTTGAAAGCAAAACCTAGAACATCCTCCTTCGCCCCAAGACAAAAAAAAAAAACCAAAACCTTTTCACTGGGATATAGTCATGCTCTCTCCTGCTTTTTCCCTCTCTGGCCCCATGATGGATATTCCTTTCCATGCAGTGGCCCAGCTTGAACAGGTGTGGAAGGTGCCCTCATTTCATATCTTAGTGGTTGTGGCCCTTCCTTCGGAAACAGAAGATATGAAGAGGTCTGAAGCCAGGTATCCCACTTCCTGGATGAATTCTCTAATCTTGAAGGTATTTTGTAAGCAGTAACAACTACTCTCCCCACTATTTTTTCCTTATCCTCCTCTGCACACAGGCACCTGATCTGGCATTTTCAGACTACAAATCCCCTACTCTCAGGCACCTAACTACAGAGTACAAGGAAGCACTTTGCTGCTTAAAACTACGAGACAGGTAGATTTCAGACATAGTGCCCTTTTCTATGATTCCTGTTAAATGTCTTAAACATCATTTCTGTTACCATTCTGAGTGCTACGAATCTCAATCCTGGGTAACCAAAGTCTCTCTACTTAAAAAACAGAAAACTTAAGCACCAGCTCAGGTTTTGGAATTCTGTCCTTAGAGGCAGAAATCTAAAATTTGGGCATAAGGATACTGAGTGTCCCCATATCTAGGTCCCTTTGTGAATCTTGCCCTTTGGACCTAGACTGGTGATTTTCAACCGGAGTGAAGCAACATCCTCAGATGCCATGGAATTCTTTTAAGAGTGCTGTGGGGTGCTGCACAATATTAGCACTGATATGTCTGCAAATACCTTCATATGATTCACAAGACGAACACAGAAATCTCAAAGAGGAATCCAAAGTATCAAAAAAAAAATGACACCTGCTGTGGACTGAGTTCTTTGCAAAAGAAGAATTGCTCCATTATTTTTCCATAGACAAAAACGCTAAGAGGTATCATCCAACATAAAAAGAAGAAATAGAACAAATTGCTCCAAGAACAACTTTCCCAGCCATAAAACAACCAGAGGACTAACACCAACACCTTTTAACATTCCAACCTCAGACTTGATGAAACTGAAAGCAACCCTCAAATACCATTAATCTCTCCACACACACGCTTACCAAAACTGAAAAATCTGTCCTTTCTACAGGCCTAAATTTCTGTCCAGAAAAATACCCTAATAAATACTTCAATGTGAAGACCTAAACAAATTCTTCTGAAGCCTCTGCCTCAAGGAATATTTCCATGACCAAAATTAATCCACTTAATCCATTAACCTTGACTGCTACACTGATTGCTTCAGGGAAAGAATGAACAATGAAATAATCAACAACACATGCCACCATAACAGCCTCTCTCTACCAGAGAGAAAGATCATAGAATCTCTAAGATCTAACCACCAAATAGTAATAAAACCAGCAGATAAAGGAGGAGCTATAGTCATCCTAAACCGTAAAGACTACATAAAGGAAGCCAACAGACAACTCTCTGACACCACCTACTACAAAGAACTACAAGAAGAGATCCTACTCCCCTTTTCACCATGAAACTCAAAAATACCATCAAATCATTTCCATCAGAACTACAAGAAAAACTACGGCCTTGATCCCCTCACTACCCAACCCAGAGACTTTTTACATACTCCCTAAAATCCACAAACAAGGGAACCCTGGCAAACTTATCATATCCAACCATGGGACCCTAATTGAGGAAATATCAGGTTTTGTCAAATCAATCCTAAAACTGCTTGTCACCCAAACACTAAGTTTTGTCCAAGACACTACAGACTTTCTACGGAAACTTAAAAACATAGACCACCTTCCCAGCAACACCCTCCTAGCCACCATAGATGTTACCAGCTTATATACCAACATTCCATACCAGGATGGCATCCATGTCTGCCTTACAGATTTACAAGAGCAAGATTACAACTCAGAGTACAGACCCAAAGATATTACTAACCTTATACACTTCATCCTCAGATACAACAATTTCACTTTTAATAACCAACACTTTACTCCAGACCATAGGCACAGCTATGGGCACCAAAATGGCCTCACAGCATGCCAACCTTTTTATAAGCCATGTGGAAGAAAAATTCCTCAAGGACTGCACCATCAAACCCTTGCTCTATACCTTAGATATATCGAAGACATCTTCATCATTGGGACTGAAAACCTGCAATCTCTGATTGAGTTCCATCAGAAATTTAACAATCATCATCTCTCCATCCAACTCTCTCTTCAATACTCCAGCACCAACATCTCCTTTTTAGACATGATTATCAGTATCCAAAAAGGTAAAATTCAGACCATGTTATACAAGAAACCCACAAACCAACTTACATATCTGCACAGAACCAGCAATCACCCCAAACACACCAGGAAAGCTGCGATATACAGCCAAACCTTCAGATACCACCGAATTTGCACTGAAAAGAACACCCAGGATTGCCACCTCACCAATCTCAAAAAGGCTTTCACCCAACAAGGACACTCCTCCAGAGAGACAGATCGCACATTTGAAGGAGCCACCCAGATACCACATGAAGTATTGCTGCAGTACAGAAAAAAAAACCTTCACGAATTGCACTGCTGGTTATGATGTATCACCTCACCCTCAAACCCATATGGAAAATCCTCAAACAACTGCAACCCATACTAGAAAGAGACCCTATTCTTAAAGAGATCTTCCCAGAACCACCCATCCTAGCCTTCAAATCAGCACCGAACCTCGGTAACCTCATCACCAGAAACAAACTTCCTCAGGCCCAAAACACACCAAATGGATCCAGACCATGCCATGACAAGAAATGCAAAACCTGCCAACCCCCACAATTACTACACCCCACAACACAGCCATCAGCATTCCCAGATCTTACAGCTGCACCTCCAGAAATGTAATATATTTCATGCAGTGCACCGAAGGCCCTGATGGAAAATATGTAGGAGAGACCAGGCAACAACTGCACACCAGAATGAATGCACACCGGATATCTATCGAAGAGAATAATACCCTATGACCTGTGGGGGCATATCTCTTACAAGAAAACCACTCTCTCTCCAATCTCTCAGTTCTAATACTCAAAGGGAACTTACAAAACACTTCCCAGAGACGAGCCTATGAACTTCATTTCATCAACCTCCTGGCTAGAAAAAATCATGGACTAAATATAGACATTGGATTTATGACATATTATAACCTGCCTGACAGCTGACTCCCCAGGTACTTCTCCCCTATTTAACTGCTACATTCATCCCCCTTTTCTCTCTCCAAGCGCCCCCCCCAGCCTGTCTCACCCACTGACTGCTCAATTTACATCTTCACTGACTGCCTGTCTTGCATGCACACCAGCCCAGCCTCTGGCTTCTTTATTATTCATTCCATCCAGGAAGAGCAAACACCAACTGCAGAGACTTCCTCAGCCTGACAAAGAGTTTTTAAACCCAAAACCTTGCTTAAAATTTTTTTCCAACTATTTAAGTTGGTCTAATAAAAGATATCAGATTCACCCAAAGAACCTTGTCTGCCTCAAAGCTAAGAGATGGCATTTTCTGAGTAGTGGCTTGAGTCTAAAAAGGTTGAGAACCACTTGTCTGGATTTTAAAGCTTTCTGAGCCCTGCGGGCCTATTCACAAGATTACAAGATCCAGCACTGTAACAAACTCCACATGGATTAGGGCAGTGTACAAATCAGATAGACAAAATATATTAAGGAGAAACTTGATGTATTTAAATATTTGACACATTTTATTACAAATATTACATTACTATGTGTGTTTAACATACATTTACCTATATTAAAAATGCTTTAGAAACATCTTAAAAACTGACAGGCTGCCAATTACTGCATTTACTCACTTATCACATGCACTTTTTCCTCAAAAAAAATCACCCCTCAAAAATCGGTGTGCATGTGTTAAGCAGAGAGACTGATTTTTCTATTCTTCCACATTTCTATTCCAGTGAAGAAGCAGGGAGACATTGCATCAAGATGGCTACTGTGTCTCTCCCTTTGCCCTTTGAGAGGAAGTGGGCAGAGTTTACCCTTCAAGATCAGAGCTACAGTGTTAACCTTCTTACAGCTGTTGCAGTCAGCATTCATCCATGACTGGCACGATATTTTTTCCCTTCGTTCTGCCTTCTCTAAACAGATCCATGTCTTATTGGAGGGGGTGGGGGGTGATTTGTAAGAAAATACATAGATTTTTAAAAAAGAGTTCCTCTATCAGATATTATTTTAAAGACTTTCATTATAAGCATAATTTCCTTACCAACATCCCTTTGAAATGGCCAGATTTCTTATACCATGCTTTGGTGTTCCCATTCTCAGAGACACATACATGATCCATAAGGCCATTGGAGTATATAAAGCATTTTCCTAACAAAACGGTGCACATAAGGAAAAAAATTAAAGTTTGCATTACTCCTGCTCAACAAACATGTTGGTCTGACAAACTGTGACAGAGTAGCTTGGAAAGCTAGTAAAAGCTCCAGGTACTGAGAAAAAAAAGGAAGTATAGTAAAAAATACATCTGCCTAAGATATGCCTACAGTATATCATATGGGCTCTGCTGCTTATTAAGACTTAACAGAGTCCTAGGTTTTATAAGTAGTCTATTGTAGGAATACTTAAGAGTTGTTTTAGCAATATCTATTTTTTCTTACTCTACAGTACAATAGTACTTAATAATGTACTATAATGTCTCATGTACACAGCTGAAATAAAGGAACAGAAAGAAGAGTGACTGTGAAAAATGGCACCTTCTTAGATTTGCTTTTCTGGATGTTCAGCTATATCTGCATACTTCAGTGGCTAAAATAAGGTTTTGCTTCTTTTAGATCCTGTTGACGCTGCAGAGACTACACAGCTACAGGAGAGTGAACTGAGGTCTTTTCTGGCTCCGCATCAGAAGAATTATTAACCACCCTATAGACCCAAATCCAAGATTACTTTGAATTTAAGACAACCCCCACAATAGTTAGATTCTAAACATGGAAAATGTATAATTTTTTTAATACTTTTCCATATCTAAAATCAAATTATGGAGGGTGTCTTACAATCACCCCCACTGCAGTGGGGCAAGGGAGTTAAATGGCCTGACCCCTGCCTCTCATCCTCCCCACCATTTGCCTCCTCCCCCAGTATCTTCCCCCCACCAGTACTGCTCATCCCCATGCTTGATCCTGAACTGTGCCTGTGCCCCTTGCCCCAACTATTTTCTCCCCTCTCACCTGTTCCCTCAGTTCCTGCCCCAGCTACCACCTCTCTCCTACCTGCTGCCCACCCCCCAGCACTTACCCTCTGGCTCCAGCTCATGAAGCACATGGTTGCTCTGGCCCCAGCCTGCCCCCTCCACCCACTTGTACTTGCATCCAAGATGGGGCTCCCCTCCTATATGTTAAAGGATGGAAAAGACTCTAGTCTTGAATTTGAGTAAATAATTCCAACAGGCTACAAAAATGTAACAGAGGACAGGAGTTGGTCCTCAGCATGATTATTGAAGAGGAACTGCAAACAAGAAAGAACACACAGGTAGACTTTTGGTCCCAGGTTGGATTTGCAAGATTGAAAGTTAGAAAATCATCTTTTCATTTGAAATAATTCAGGAAATTCAATTTAAAGTTACAGTGACAGTAAACCAAGGACCAAACATCATTTGTATTGCTATTTTACTGAGCAGAAATACACATAACAATATAGGAGAGAAAATTAAAATTGAAGTAATTTATATAGATATAGCAATATGCTTTATTCTTTAAAAACACCATTTACCTTTGGTTAATGGATTACTTTGGACTTGTAGCCGAATTTTTACAACATCCAAAGGTGTCACTAAAATAAAGGAAAAAAATTATTCAAATGAGAAACGTTAGATTCTTTATTATCTTCTTGTTCTGAAAAGGTAAACCAGTATTTTAAGACCTCATCTTCCTCAGGAATATTGCATGCACTGCAAAAGAAAAAATGCATAAATTTTGATACCCATACTAGATGTGCTTGTCACAAAAAGCAAAATGATAGTATGCTCTTATGTTCTCAACTATTTTCAGTTAACAAGTTAAATCAATACTAGCTATTCCTAGCATGCACGCATAAGCATTTCACCAGTTAAACTAAATCAGTTTCAATTTCTGTTGCAGTTGCACTGATAAAATTTCAATGTATACCCAAGTCTTAAAATGTCCTGGTATTTTTGCTGCAAATTTTTCTGTTGGCTGTGAGCAGTCGTTCAGTGTTTTGTTTTCTCTTCCCCCCAACTGGGTTTCTCTCTCCAGCATTTCTCTTCCCCCCTCTCCAGAGCTGCCTTTCTTTCTCCAGCATTCTCTGCTATCTGGAGGCAGCTGGAACTCTGCATGTGATACCATTGTTTGACACAGCCAAGCATTCAGGATTAGAAGCAGGGCCCCAAAGAGCCCAAAATGTAAGCTAATGAGCTGGGTATCCAGGAGAGCAATCATCAGGTCAACTTTCCCCCTACCCCACCCCTCACCTTCCTGTCTCACACCTACTGTCTCCCATGGCCTCTGATCCTCCCTGTCACACATTTGCATTTTCACAGACCTGCATTTTGCATATTGGCTTCTGTTCCATCCAGGAGAACACAAAATAACAGCAGACTCTCCCTATGTCAGAAGAAGGGTGGTTGTGCCAGAAAGCATGCAAAGAACAATTCTTCCAACTATTTAGTCGATCTAATAACAGATAGCACATTTTCCCAAAGAACCTTGTCTGGAGAGCAATGAAACACTCAAAGTCAGGGGAGCTGAGCTACTGAACCTGCAGGTTGGTCCCTTACTGGCACACCCAGGAATAGATTCTGAGCTGAGTTGCCAGGAAAAACTCTGCAGGAGCCAAATCCATTATATGTGCAGGGATCCTGCAGAGATGGTGCCATTGTACCACATGCAAAGGAAACCTTGATTATAGGTGAGGCAATTATTTCAACACTGCAGCAAAACAATAGGTGCCCAATCTTGTCAGCAACACTGGACTGTCCTAGTGCCACACTGAAAATCAAAAGCAATCCCACCCACTTCTCTGGGGAAGTTCTTATAAAAGAAATGCCAAGCTGGTGAGTGTACACACACAACTCCTTCCCAAGTTTCAGTCATGTCTCTTCTCCCAAATGCCAGTCTTTTAATATCTCCAGTCAGAAAGTTAAATCAGAAGCTAGACAGAAACATCCTACAAATATTCATGCAAGTGAATAGCTCTGCTGAACTGAGTGAGCTTATTTGTACACATAGTACTACATAGACTAAAACAGGGTCGGGCAATTATTTTGGCTGGAGGGCCACTTAATGAGTTTTAGGGACCTGTTGAGAGCCACATCCATCTGTCTCTCGCTCTCTCTCTTGCTGTCTCTCTCCTCCCTCTGTCTTTCTCCTCTTCTCTCCTCTCTGAATCTTTCTCTTCTTGTCTCTGTCTCTCTCCTCTTCCTTCCCTCCCTCCAGAACCCAGCCAAAGCTGTAGTTCACCAGGAACCCCAATGCTCAGCTGCAGACCCAGGCAGGAGCTTCTGCTGTGCTGGACTTCTTGTGCATCAACTGTGGAGGCAGCCAGCAGGTTCTGGAGCCCTGATGTGGAACCTGCTGGCAGTGTCACAGCTGATTCTGCCACCCACCTGGCACGGCAGAAACTCCTGCCTGCATCTATAGCTACAGTTGAGACTCTGGGCAAGAGCGTCCACTGTGCTCAGTGGGCAGTGGCATCACCTATGGACACACCAGCAGGTTCTACATCCGGGCTCCTGAACCTGTCAGCAGCGTCCACAATTGATGCCGCTGCCCACCTACTGTGGCAGAAGCTGTGCCTGGGTCCACAGCTGATGCTGCCATGTCAAGGGCTGATGCTGCCTGGCCTAACCAGTCCCATCCACCTGACCAGCACCATGCAGCAGCCAGAGCCGTCAGTCAGCCAGATCCAACGAGCTGGTGGCTGTCTACCCATGGGCTGGATCAAATCTATTGGTGGGCCATATTTTGCCTACCCCTGGACTAAGGCCTAACACAAAAAAATGACTATTTGCAATAAACTATTTACATCTCACATCACTGTTGTCTCACACAGCATCATATTATTTAACTCTATTTACCTTATACACAGAAACATGAATCATTATATTCAAAGGTTAGAGAGAGGAAACAATGATAGAAGTTAATAAAGATTGTTCTAGTTTTTGGTAGTAACTAGAGAATGCAAAGGCTTCAACTGATCATAGGTTTTAATTCAAAATACTAAAAGAGATGTGAAGACAGAGAATAAACCAAAAGCTGTACTGTACTATAGCAAAACAAAACAGTAAAATGTACAAAATATATATATTTAAAAAACATTTCAATTGGTTAAGCCAGTGGCTATCAATTGGTAAACTGCAGGGATGCCATAACTGGACCATAATGGCAGCTGGGTAGTCAACTAACCCTTCAAACACAGCTGCTTCATACATTGTCAGTTGAGGCATAGGAAGCATCAGATTCAGTGCAGTACTGTTGACAAGCTATTTAGCTCTGCTAGGAGGCAAAGCTAGTTAGCCAGATACAATATCATGAGAATACAGCTGTGTTCCTGCCTGTGCTAGAATAGGTGGTGGGTAAACTTTGGCTTTACCATAAGGGAGTTAGACTGAAGCCGTGTGTGGGATTGGGGAGTAGGAGCTCTGGAGATGATGATGTGAAGCAGTCTCAGGAGAGAGAGGTTGTAGGACCAAAAAAGTGAGACCTCATCCAAGCACATGAGAAAATTTGTATAAATACTTTAAACTAAGTTTGGTCAATATTTTGCCTTACCCAAGAGTGATGTAATAGTAGCTCCACAACAAGAAGCAACTGCTTGCTGAAAAGGGGAAATAGGATATAATCCATTTTCATTCTTTTTATTAGTCATAATTTTCTTCTGAGAGAAACAAAAGCTGTTAAGAAAGAGAGAGAAGTTTTGAAGACATTCACATTTCCAGAAAAATGGTTAGAGGAAGGAGTAACTATAGTTTACCATGAAATGTAAAATAAAATCAGTAACAAAACTGGTGTAAATATTAGTTTTCTTGATTACAAATGTTATCAAGTCGTTATCATTTCAAAGTATTAGAAAATACACTTATTCTCTAGCACATACATAAACTAGAGAAGATCTACTCTATGCTCTTATTTCCCTGAACAGTTGGCTTGATGTTCAACACCTCTCAGTAAACCAGATTGAACGGATATATTATTAGAAATCATAAGCAAACCAAAATCACTAAAACCTGTACCTCTTTGCTAACCCTCATAACGTTGAGCAGAAAAGGGATAAGACAGCCCCTTGCAGACACTGGCAACATTCTTATGGATGTGGCATTTTTCTTGTGAAGGAGAAAGTATTACTCCACACTACATCAGGAACGTTTTACAAGGTAAGGATGAAACAACATTCATTTTCACTGAGAACTTTGACACATGACACAGTTACAACACTGTAATTTACACTGGGTACTTGGGAAGCGAACTTTGATTTGCTAATGAAATTCAAAACCACCAGAGAAAATAAGTAAAAGGGGAGCCGAAGATATTCAATGTATGTCCTTGCACCATGGATTTTTACAGTGATATAATGATGTCTTCTGTTTTGTTTTCTCTTTCCTTCCCAGCAATGACAAACATGCTTTTTTGGTCCCTGCAGAACACTGAGCTGACATTTTTTAAAGCACTATCTACAATGACTCCAATGTCTTTCTTGGGACATAAGGCTAATTCAGAGCCCACTGTGAATGTGTAGTTCAATTTTTCTCTGTGTGTATTAATTTGTACTCATCAACACTGCCAGGATGTAGTTCCTAGGGTCACCTTCAAAATGTTTTTTGAAGATGGGTGCTATTGTAGCAAACTGTTAGACCTCTGGCAGAGACAGTCTGTAATGATAGGTTATCTACTACTGGCAACAGCTCTAAAACTTCGCATCTGGGTTCTTCAGAATTCTTGGGTAAAATACTGTCTGTTCCTGGTGACTTGCTACTTTTAATTAATTGACTAATTCTAAAACCTGCTGTGTTGTTTTTTCAGTTTCATCTAACTTTTCAGGTGTGTCTGCTAAGATGAACTAATCCAGCCTGGAAATCGTCCCAATAGCCTCTGTAGCAAAGACTGATGCAAAGAATTAATTTAGCTTCTCTGCTCTCGCTTTATCATCCCTGAGCACACTTATTACATCCTGCTTATCTAATGATCACACTAACTCTGTATGCCTTCCTGCTTTTGATACATTTAAAAATATATATATTGTTATTAACTTTAACATCTTTCAAGAGTTACTCATTTTTTTATACCCTGCCTTGTAATGTTTTTACATCTGGCCTGCCAGAATTCGTGCTTTTTCTAGTCTTCCTTATAGCAACACAGCTCTGGGCAGTAATTCAGAGTTTAATTTAGAAACAGGGCCACTAAAACTGCAAATGGTCCTTGCTGCTGCCAGTGATACCCAGCAGAAGAGTTCAACTCCATTAAAACCCAGAGACCCATATATAAAACAGGTTATTTTGGGGCTTTGTTTTTTTGTTTTTTTACAAATACCCAGTCTGAGACGCAACTGTGTTTTAAAACCACTCCCTGCTTCTACAAAGCAGGATTCATAAGGGAAATACATGGTACTGAAGGCTGGGTTTTTAGTTGTAGCTGTGTTGGTTTAAGGACATAGGCAGGTAAGGTTATTTGGGTAGAAGTGATAGCTTTTATTAGACCAAAAGCTTGCTTAGAACTTTTTTCCAACCACTCAGTTGGTCTAAGAAAAGCTATCACACATCTACCCAAAGAACCTTGCCTGGTACTGAAGAAGCATTTTTAACACATCTCTGTTGTCAGGTTAATCTGCACAATGGTTTCTGCTTATTTATAAAAGTACTAAATAAATGCGCATAACACTGGTGAACGCCTTTTTTGTGATGCTAGTGCACTCAGTACTACTGCGCAGTAGCGTCATGTCATGGTTTTTGCCATGTGATGCTACTGTGCAGCAGTATCAGCAACTCCTATAGACAGGCGCAGTGATCCCTTAATTATACATAGTTGCATTGGATGTTACGACCGAAAGCTACAGAAGTCAGGGGAGTATGAGCCCCAGCCAGGGGCTGTTTGTCACTTTCAGGGGATGCTGGGCTGTTGCCCGCTGATGGGGGAGGTCACTGAGAGAATAACAATTAATTTCTCAGGACACAAAGGCAAAAAATAGGGACAGAAGCAATGGTCAAAGGTTCAAAACAAGTACAGCAAAGGCGGACACCAAGCAGAGCACAGACTGGACGGTGCCTACAAGTCTGAGGAGCCAGCAGACACTGTGCAGTGGAACTCTGCCTGGAGGCATGAATAGAAGAGTCCCGGTGTCCTCCTGGCCAGATACGTGGCTAGCTTGGCCAGGGCCAGGGCCAAGAGGGGGGTGCCCAGGAGGTCCTGGGCCTTGGTGGGGCTGCGGATAGGGAGCGCAGGACCACAGCTGTGCAGCAGTCCTGCAGCCGGGACCTCCGCAGGAGGTGCTGGAGGAGGCGGCGAAGGGGCGGCAGCCCGGCGCGTGCGGGGTCGCTCTGCTCACGGGTGTCGGGGACCCGTGAGGCCCGCGCGCGGCGACGGCTCCGCACAGCAGCCACCGGCGGGGGCCCCGAGCAGGCTCCAGCCCACCTACGACACCTCTGTCCCTCTGCCGCGCCGCGGTCACCCGCAGCGCAAGGGGATCCCGGGGAGGGGCGGGCGAGGGTAGGCCGCGGCTCCTCCGTCCTTCGCGCCGCGCGGCAAAGCCGGAACAAGCAGCTCCGCGTGAGCTGCTCCCCGGCC